CTAATTCGCTATGGAAAATTAATTTGTTAGCGTAACAAAGTACACGAAATCTTTTTTCGTATCCAAGTTGCGCGATAACACAACATTGTACGTTTCTCTCAATACAAGCATCTGATGTCATGTGTTGTTACAATCCTTTAATCACAGAAAATAATTCCAATGCTCCTGCTGTGAGTTTGCAGATGAAACTGACAGCATAGTCTTGTAATTATTTCGTTCATAATAGTCTTGTAATTATTTTGCTCAAGTAACCGACGTGCGCAACGAAGTAATAGAAGCGAAATGAGAAGACGCGCCCGTTACGCGCCGGCAAGAAATTGGCGCAATGGAGGAAGGAAGGAAGGAAGGAAGGAAGGAAGCTTGTCGTTCGACGTGAGCTTGTCATTAGACGAAATACGAGAGTCGCAGATATACTTTTTAATTCCGGATAAACATGCTGCAACGAGCCATGCTGTATCGGAATAAATGCGTCATAGATGCATTTGCAAAATTGCACCGACACGTAGACATTCGCGAGGACGGTGCACTGGCCGTTCCATTCTATCGGCGACGACGACGTGTTTCAATGTAGTGCATCCGTGTGTGCAGTCGTAAAGTCGTAAAGTCGTTTTCCACGTGCATCTCTGTCATACGAGATTGCATCCCTGGACTATTGCGCACCGAAATATTTTTCATATTTCTTAGAACGAGACGCGAGATTAAAAGATGAAACAGATCGATCGATGTTGATATGCCCGACCAGTCAAATATTTAATTTGGTCAAATAGAACGTTTGAAATTGGCAGATCGTAAAGATAACTTTTTAACATCATAACGCGAGATCGCATGTATACTTGGTTTTCTGGAAAAGATTATTGTAGTTCGATTCGAACGTCTTACTTTATCCACTATATTCCCCTGACGTTGGATCCTTAGACAACTTTTTCCAGACAACCATCTCTTCCGTCCGCTTTAAAATAGTTTCAACGATAAAGAATTTCAATCTTTGAAGTTCGTCAAAAATAGTTCCGGTAACTTTTTTAATGAAGAGTTGATGTTCAATTTTACACCGAGGAATAATAAATCTATCCGAAAGATCGTCTAAAAATGTAATATATACATTCTTGATTTTCACGTTGTTTGTAAGCGAAAAATTAAGACCTCATAATTGTTAAATTTTAAATTATCGCACATATATAACAATGCTTTGCTCATTCGGTTCTTAGATCCACACAATTTCATGAACATTTCATTATACTCAAACGAATCACTATGCGGGTCGATAAATCGATGTGCGGACAAAGTAATAAGCTTGCAGTGGCACTTTATTTAGTTGTACAAAATGCATTTGAATTTAATATTCCTCGGTGTGAATGCGAAAAGTACGAAATGACATATGAATAATTAATTCGGATAAATGGCGAAACGACACGCCATTCGTACATATATGTGGGATTCGTCGGTGACCGTTTAACCGTTATACATCTTCACGACGAAGGAAGAGTTAGAACGTCCCTCGACGCTCTAGAGATAATATTGTTCCCGTATAATTAAACGCGACTTCACTTTACGTTAAACTCGAGGGATGGCTAGTGAGGTCGCTTACTCTCTTCAAGGTACGATTCCTTCGACCTCTCCTCGCTTAGTGTTGGCTTCTATTGATTCATGCCAGCTAGTCGCTGTGGGGCGAAGACATAGACAATGCGATCAAGAAAGAGAAATGGAGTATGCACTGTCGTCGTATACGTTAACGGAGAAGCCAAAGAGGCACGGATGCATCGAGAAACTCGGAGACGATCTCGAATCGTGTGCGCGTAACAATAGTCTACGAAGTTTACGCGCGAGCTGCGCGCGAAATGTCGTTTTACCTGAAAAAGTAAGATGCCTTCGACGAGAAATTAAACTCAGTTTATTAAGAGCCTGTAAAAGTTCGTCGGGTTTTGAATCATGTTTTTTTTATTACTTAAGTGACGAAACAGCTCGACTCGAAATGCTCGAAAAACATTCTTTTATATTTATACTACAAATATTATCGAACTTGAGCAATTGAACTTTTTAATAAGTCTTAACACAGAAGCATCGCATTGATGATATTAAGACGATATCGTATCAAAAAATAAAATCTGAGATGCTGTGTTCGTCCTTTGAACTAACGAAATCATCGATGACTCGACGAACATTTGCGAGACCTTAATGCAAATGCCAATTTGTAGTGCTTATCATTTGTTGGTGCTTGTTTCTTTTCCAAGCTGAAATCGGTATGGACGTTTTGTGTACGCAAAACTGTAAAACACTTTACAGTAGAAAATGTAACGTTTGTTTCATGCACGGTCGACCTAGTTTATACACGTAGAAAATCGTTTGTGTAAATATCGATGTGCACAATATGCAGACAAACCTGGTAAATGTAATTTCAAACTTTGCGGCAATCCGATTGAAATGATCGATAAATGTTTATTGATTTGTCACGAGTGATGTTACGAGAGATATTAAAAAATAGCAAGAGCAAATTTAATTGCAAAATAACATGTAAGAACGTTGCTAAAAGATTGCTCAAATTCAATTTAGTTTATAACAATGATAACTCCGTAACTACGTAGATACATAAATACAAGAGATACACGAGGTGATGATGTTTAATTGCCATATTCAAATGTACCCAACCTGAGAAAGAACCTGGAAGGAAGAGGGAGAAAAAAAAGAGAAAGAGAATAAGCGAGTAGCCGAGTTAATTAATTTCTTATCGCGTACGCATTGTGTTCTCAATTCTTGTGAAAGGTTCGCGTGTCTGCGCGACCTGACTGTCTGATGAAGGTTTTTTAAAAGCGTTTAGCACTCCCGGACGAGTCTCTAATTCATCTCGCGGCATTCCAATGACTGACGGTTTCTGCAGGTTTTGCAGGAGATTTCGCGTCGCTTGACGGGCGAAAGAAATTCGTTTGCGACTCGTTTTTCCTTTTTTCCTCTCTCGCTAACCTCGAAGCAGAAGCAGTGAAGAAGTAATAAAGAACCTGTCGGGAATTTGGTGGCCATTCTTCTTCATTGGCGTACTCTATTTCCCGCGGTTCGCCACAATCTCTCGCCGTGATTTCGATATCGCAGTCTTTCTCTCTTTCCCTCCCTCCCTCTCTCTCTCTCTCTCTCTCTCTCTCTCTCTCTCTCTCTCTCTCTCTATCTATCTATCTATCTCGCACTCACCTCATCCTTCGTGAATTCTTATTCTACTCAACGAGATAGATCAACCTCGTTTGATTCCTGAAACGTCCGCATCCTATCTGCTCACGTCTCCAACACGGACAGACGTACATACATTTGCCCAGAAATGATCGAGAGGGAAGTGACAGTTCGGTTGGAGACGCGGTTACCCGATCGTATTTGAGAAATTGATCGGCTGCCAAGGATGTCTCGTTAATCTATTGCCAATAACGCGCGGTGCACTTTAAAGCCGGAGGGCCGACGATCGTGTCGCTGTTTCAATCGGTTTCAATTACGTCGTAATACGACATACGCTTAATCGGTGCGACACAGCGTGACCCCTCTTGAATCTAAGGATCATATTCGTCATCGCGATAAAAGGTACAAGGGAAATATGGAAACCATGTGTGCGCGCGGTAAAAATTCCGCTCCGCGACTCACCCGCCACCCGAGATACGGCGCTTAATCGTTCAGGGATACGCAATTTGAAACAAGGTGAAACTTGGCGCCAAGCAAAGACACTTTTATGTCCAGCTATACGTCAAACCGACGCGCGAACACCTTGGGACCACCGATGTAAAGTTAGAGAAATATGTCGTACCAACTTACAGTATAATTCTCTTTATCGTCGTAACACGCCTTCTCATAATACTACCTGCAATCCTACAATCCTGCTTTAAAGCTTCAACATAAAATTATTGTTTCAGTACGTACACTACGTGCACGGAAGAACGTTGAGAACGTAATAACCGTAGGTAGTATGTTATAGTGTAAACGAAATCCTTGCTACTGTAAGGAATATAAGGAGCAGTCCCAGTTCACGCCGTAGTTAGACGGTTTGTGCTAGTGTAGTTCGTGTTTTATGTTATGTACCGAGAGATACGCGAGCTGAGCTTCTATTCAATTTTATGATTTAGGGATACCGATTTCGAGATAAATTCTAACACGGCCGATGTTTGTTATATATCGATTGTTGCTTTCAGCACGAATGTGCTCTCGCACATCTCTGAAAATACAGAGCCATCATAAACTTGATGTAAAAAAAAGAAAAAAAGAGAAAAAAAAATGAACTGCTATTATCTCTCACACACATATGTGTGTGTGTGTATATATATATATACATATACATGTGTATATACACATATATACATATATATCTTGAATGCTGCCGTTCAGCGAAGCGCTACTTCGCCCGCTATTAAATAGATCACGCTGCGTAATGTGGATATTCAGTATCCGGTATAAATGCTTGGTCGGTCGCTGAATTAATCCCTCGTTCATAGGATAATGCTGTTTATCCGCGCCGGTAATGGGTCGTATCATAAAGATGAAAAAATAATGCTGGATAAACGAAAGATAAATTTCGCATAACCAACGGACGGAACAATTTCATTTGAAAATATCAGATCCACGCGTTCTCAATAATGTTACAATTACGACGGAATTATGATAAAAACACGCGACAAGACAATAAAACTTTCATTAAATTTCAGTGAGTTTATTTAATTGATCGTCAGATGGTTTGCCGCCATTCGTCAATATTCTCTGAATTTATTATAGGAAAATTTAATCGAGAATAACTTTGTTCGCGGTGGCCTGCAGGTCGTTAATTAATACCAATTCTCAGCGCAATTTGAGATCTAATATGCAATAATCCAGACCTACGAGAGCTTTCCCGTTGATTATGAGCGGTAAACACGAATCCTATTGACGAGTGTTACGTGAAAATATTCGGAAATTATGCTATTTATTATTTACAGTGTCGTCACCACGATATCCGTTTTATTCGATAAAAAAGAAATAAATTCTGAATCGTTCTGCGAGGATATTTTCCGCGTGGTCTCACTTTAATTGCACGACTTTGTCTCGAGGAAGTAAAAGTCGATGACCGGCCGCGTTCATTCTTCTCGCGCGAACCGCCCAGAAGAGGATTTGCGTTTACGGATTTTCGTTTAATACGCATTCGGCCGCGCGGAGGCGGAAGACCGGAAGTAGATCGTGAAAAGTTACCTTCCCACTTGCGTTCCTCGACTGACGAGAACCTGCAGAAAATTCAATTGGTTGGCTCTTCAATGGAAAGCCCGGCTCTCCCGCTGTTTATCTGGCGGCGCCGTGCACAGAGCTATATTTGACGGAGGAAAAGGAGTTAAGCTGTATCGAGCGCGGGAAAGAGCTTATTTGCTATCGTCGGCGCCTGAGAATTCATTTCGCCTACAAATAAAACGCTACTTACCAGCGCCGATGTCGGTGCATGTTCTGCGTGTTTCGGAGCACGGCCAAATACGAGCGATCGAGTGCGAATCCGAGCGAGCGACATGTTCATGTACGCACAGTTCGAAACTTCTACAAGCATGCCCGATAACCTGAACAGATACCTGTTGACGCCGACAGCATCAACACGATCGCGCATAAGTACGAATGAAACGAATTATTGCATCCGTGTACTAAGGCCGTATACGGAGTAAGTTCTAAATTTTACCTTTTTTCAGCAGAAAAGCTGATGTTGCACAGCTCTCGAAATCTTAACGGCCAAATGCAAGCGACTGAGCACGAATCTGAACGATCCCCCGAGCGATTCCGAGCGACTCCGAGTAAATCCGAGCGAGCGCGAAAGTAAACGATATTTTCGTGCATGCGTAGATAGAATCTCCTAGAACATTCTAGAAACATGCATGGCAATCCGTTAATACCGGCGGCATTAACACCATCGCGCGTAAGTATGAGTGAGACGAATTATTGCACCCGTGCACTAAGGCTGTGCGCGGAACAAGTTCTAAATTTTATTACCTTTCTTTCAGTGGAAAAGCTGATGTTTCTTGCAGAAGAGTCGAAATCTTAACAGCCAAATGTAAGCCATCGAGCGCGAATCCGAACGATCCCGAACGATTCCGAGCAATTCCGAGTGAATCCGAGCGAGCGCGAGAGTACATCTTCCTGCATTGCATGCATAGCCAGAATCTTCTAGAACATTCTAAAAGTATGCACGGCAACCTGTTAACACCGGCGGCATTAACACAATCGCGCATAAGTGTGAACGAGACGAATTATTACATCCTTGAGCGAAAGGTATCAAAGTAATTTCGCGGCTCTCTTCTTCTCTCTCTCTCTCTCTCTCTCTCTCTCTCTCTCTCTCTCTCTCTCTCTCTCTCTCTCTCTTTCTCTCTCTTCCCTCTCTTTCTGTCGCCTTCTTTCTCCTCTTTCGCTCATTTTCTCGTAACGGATATGGGACAAGCTACATATTTTATTACCTGTTTTAGTGAAAAAGCTGATGTTTCTTGCATAGCACTTGAAATATTAACGGCCAAATGCAATGCGAGCGCAAAACCGAGCGAATTCGAACGAACGCGAGCGTAAGCGCCATTTTCGTGCATGCTAAGTCAGAATCTTCTAGAAGCACGGCAACCTGATTAAGTACCTGCTGACGCCGGCGGCATCAACACGATCGTGTGTAAGTAAGAACGAAACAAATTATTACGCCCGTAAACGAAAAATATCAAAATAATTTCGTAGCTTTTATCCCTTTTCTCTCTCTTTCTCCCTCACACTCTCTTTTCTCTCTCTCTCTTCCTTTCCCTCTCTTATTTTCTCGCAAAGGGCACGGAAAAATTTTTTTACAATTTTACTACCTTTTTTCAGTAAAAAAAGCTGATATTTCATGGTACTCGAAATATTAACGGCCATATGTGCGAGATTGAACGCGACCGTAAACCGTCTTCATGTTTGCATAACCGGAATCTTCCAGAAGCATGCACAGCAACTTGATTAATTACTTGTTCATGTCAACGGTATCAACACGATCGCACGTAAGTGTAAACGAAATTATTTATTACATTCTTGAGCGAAAAGTATCAAAGTAAGTACGCGGCTCTCTCTCTCTCTCTCTCTCTCTCTCTCTCTCTCTCTCTCTCTCTCTCTCTCCCCCTTCCTCCCTCTCCTTTTCTCTCTTTCTTTCCTCTCAGTCATTTTCTCGTAAGAAGCACAGAACAAGCTCCCGATTTTGTTACTTTCTTTCAGTAAAAAAGCTTTTGTTTGTTGCATGACACTTGAAATATTAATGGATTATCGGAATTTGAATCCGTTTGATGTTTGAGAGTCCGCAGCAGCGATATTTTATATTAAACACTTTGTTTCGACGAGCAAGACGCAACGAGGCCAATTACAAAATAAAAAAATGTTAATGTGTGTCGCCGTGTCAAAGAAGGCTATATACGTACGTACTTTGCACTTTCATGAATTTCGAGATTATTTTAATCGCGAGATATATTTTCCAGCAAACAGCTCGGCCGCGCCAGTTTTGATAGGGACGTAATGAGATCGGTAGAAATGTATTTCTCACAAAGCCATAGCATTAAAGCGTACCGTTTAATAACTAATTACTGTACGGCTATGAGCAAAGAAACGAGAGAAGAAATTCATTCTACGTGCAGTACCGGTATCCCCGCTTTATATCATAAGCATAAGCTTCGCGTGAATGATTAAATGTACGTTACGCTTTTACATTTGCCATAATCTACCGTGCAAACTTCATTCAACGGACTATTTGAAGCACTTGTTTTTTTTATCGCTTGATGCTCCGCATTTTTGCACGCATTTCTGTCAGAAGGACCCGGAAATCATGGGCTAAAATATTACAACGGGAAACGGGAGGGGGGGGGGGACTTTTTCCGCAGTAACACGCGTTATCAATTCACATTTTAAATGTTTCTAATTATCGTTAATTATATGTCTGTGCATTATTCATATTGAATATTAAACGCCGCGATCGCAGCAATTGCGGATGTCGGCGCTAATCCGCGTAAATTCAATATGTTCTCTACGAAAGAGAAAGATAACGTTCTGGCAGTAAAAACGTTGGTGGCGAAATGTTAAAATACACCGCGCCGCAGTAAGGCTCGCGTCGCGTTGTGACGGAAAAGGCACGTCGCCATAAAGATATATCCAAGAGCCGACGAAATGAGCCGGCGTAATGCGTTTATGCACATCTGGCGGGGATCGTCTTAAAGGATCTGACCCGGATGATAATGCGTTTACCTCTCTTCCGTTTTCTCTGCCCGACGACGCGGTTGCTCACGCGTCTTCGCGCAACAGAAGAAGGGAAACCTAACACTACTCGTTCGCGTGTGCGAGAGTGCGCCTCCTGCGAACGCCTAATGGATTCAGGTGAAATTATCCTCGCGGAATACCAAATGAGCGGTAAGGACTGTCGTATAATTCAGGCTCGCGGGTATTAGGTGTACCCATTTAACGTCACGTCCCTTCCGTTTAAACGTGGTGCCGTAGCTTTCGGCTCCGCAGGGAATTGTACTACGGAAAGTGTGAGAGAGAGAGAGTGAGTGAGTGAGTGAGTGAGTGAGTGAGTGAGTCAGTGAGTGAGTGAGTGAATGAGTGAGTGAGTGAGTGAGTGAGTGAGTGAGTGAGTGAGTGAGTGAGTGAGTGAGTGAGTGAGTGAGTGACTGACTGACTGACTGACTGACTGAGTGAATGAGTAAGCGAGTCAACGAGTGGGGAGGAGAAAGAGGGGGGAGAATTGAGAGGGTGGTGGGTGTCCAGGGAATGAAGACGCGGGCAATCGGCCAAACCAGAACTCAGGAGTATGCTTTATGCTCTTAACTCCGACTTCTGCCAAGCTAATCGACCCTTACTCCCTAAACTAACGTGTAACAACCACGAAACGACCTGTTTCAGCGCCGGGATTTCGTCTCGGTCAATGAGCAATCGCAACGACATCCTCAAACTCGGAATGTTGCACTTTGATCGCGTGATAATCGATGTAATTGCGGAATCGTGTCGCCATCGTGAATTTCAGATTTTATTCACGTAAATGTCACGTATATCTGCGAATGTTTCATCGATTCTTATCCCAACAGAGAACAACATTCGCCGCTACTTAAAATCCAAGAGATAACGGGAGTATAATGTTGTTGAATGCGCGGTAAATATATGATGAAGGTAGAAAGAGAGGATGCGAGTATGAATAGCGTAGGGTAACGACGTGCCGTGGGTGTGAATGAAAGGGGACGAAATAGTTGTAAGAGATGAAAGGAAGACAAAAGTGCGGAAAACCGGGTGTGCAGGGGTGGCAGGCAGGTATCACGGATGAGATGGCAGAAACTCAGGGAGAAACTTTAAATTGACGAAACTCCCGGAAAAACGTTCATGCGAACAAAGGCCAACGGAACAATGCCGAAAATCCGGTAATCGAAAGGATTCGCGTTTGCAGCGGGAATGACTATGTTGCCCGGCTAAACGATCCCCAATTACAGTTCCTTCTTTATCACCTCTCACTTCCGCCATCGTATGACTGTCGTATCTTTCTCGCGCGTCTTTGCCTTGGTCTTTCGGTCTTCAACCTCACTCTTAATTAAACAATGTTATATCAATTTTGCAGTCCGATTTTAATTAGTCCGATAGTAGTTTTAATGATAATTCGAACGAATAGTCCCCACAAAGTGATAGTTCTGTCCAGCACATTTTTACACACACGTATTCCGAAAGTCACGAAAGAAAATATACCGAGAGAAAAAAAGAAAAAAAAATTTACTCGTTAGATACTAATAACATATATTTCTTTAAATCTATATTTTCGTTTATTTTAATGGAATAAAAAATTATTTGATAGAAAAACTACAGAAAGTATAAAAATGTATATTTTCTCATTTGAGAAATGATTTTTATTGTAGAAACATAAATATCAGTAATAAGTAATAATGTTATTAGTACTCATTGCACAAAAATTTGTTATTTTTTAGATTTTTTCAGTGTAATACATTATTTGCATCCAAACGGTGAAAAGTATATTGCTTCAGCAAATCTACATATTTGATCCAAACTTGATATATCGAAACTCGAAAAACATCACGAGACAGCTCGATTAGTTAATTCATGTTCCAACAGCATCTCGCTGTTACGTCTACGACGGTTCAGTGATGGCAACGTTAAATGTAATTAACGACCGTTTTCTAAAGGACAAGAAAGATCTCTAAGTCACTGTGTCATTTGAGTCATTAATCCAAAGTCAAGATACCTTTCTCCAGTCTGTAAATATCTAGCAACAAACTATTAGCTTTGTCACTTGAAGAAACGTTGCTGTCCAATAAAATACACAGCTTTTTACACGTCCAAATGTCTTATTTTATCTATCTTAATAATGCGATAAACCAAAAGATTGACTTTGATGATAATTGACATTTTTGCAATATATGTCATATGTTTTATTTTTACAATCTTTTATCGAAGACCGACTTGCTGCATATATATATATGAACGTCAAAGTTGAAGATCTGACGTAGCCAAATTCGTAGTAATCGTTAACTCTCGTTTATCGATTGCATTGCGCAAAGCTGTGACTATATACCAACTTTGGTCCGCGTTCGAAGGAAACGATAAGCCGCACGTAACGTCGAAGGGCGACACACACGTTCACCCCATAAGTATATCGTTTATTGCATAAAATTATATCCGTCTCGACTTAATATATTGATTTTTCTTCGCATTTCGTCAATTTCATGTGCGATTCGAACATAACTTTTTGCGTCAGTAAATCTTAGAACGCGGTATATTTATTTTCTTTTTCGTACCAGAATATTTCTTATTAGAAAATTCGCAGCGTACGCAAACGACAAAGAGAGCGCACACTACTTGCGCAGAACTTGGTCGTTCCGTTCTTTGTCGCTCTCGCATATTGAATATTCTAATTACCGGTTCTCTCTTTTATTTCCCATCGGATTACCGACTACATGTCATAGTAGCGAGTTTCGCCAGTTGCGTCTTTCTCTCCTCTTTATCTGTCCTTTTCTCTTTCACACACACACACACACACACACACACACACACACACACACACACACACACACACACACACACACACTCTCTCTCTCTCTCTCTCTCTCTCTCTCTCTCTCTCTCTCTCTCTCTCTCTCTCTCTCTCTCTCTCTCTCTCTCTGTCTCTCTCTCCCTCTCTCCCTCTTTCTCGACACTCACACTCTCACGCTGGTTTTCCTTGCCACTGAGTTTTTCCATGCGCGCGAACGTTTTCACGCGCTGCATACATTTCCGCAAAAAAGTTACCGGTTACGTTCCAATTCACAGTCGCGTTACT